TGTTATACAAGCTTTACAGTTCGAATAGAAATGTTTCTTTTTTTTCCGCAGCTAACTATCATCTTCGTCCTACGCTTCGCATTCACGTGGCTACAGGTGGCTAGAATAGGGAAGTGTGATGAGCGCGCCGGCTAGGCGTGTAACACCTTGGGAGAAAATTACCAGATGGCGCTGGCACACGTTTGCACGTCACCCAAGGCGGCGATGCGCTGCGCAGAGACGGTAATCAACCACACGCGCGGCCAATGTGAAAGATTTAAATTAAATTTTTGCTCGTGCATAGCCTCAAATGGTGACCGAGAAAATATACTAATTAGCTTCTGGAAAACAGAATGCTTATGGTGCGCGACTGAACTGAAATATCGTCAGGTCGACAAGATGCCGAAAGTGAGCGTGTGACGGCACTGAAACGTTTTGTTGATGTGAAGTGGTAGAAGAATGGAACGATGAACTCAGTTGTGAGCCACTGCTTGCAACACTTTCCACGTCGAACTAACATTTCCTCAAGCACTAATCTGTAAATAAAGCCCACAATTCAAAATGTCCTACTCAGAGACGAGAATCACGAGTGGTATTTGGATGAAATTCTTTTATTTTCTGCACGCACGTCATACAACGCATTTCTTTGTAGTGACTATCTGTTTACAACAATGCATTCTCAATAATTTGTCGCTCGTCCTTTTCATCCCCAAGAAAAAATGTTTTATAGTTCACAAGCGTCTTACAGAACATTTGGCTGCAAGCCAACGTGATGCGCCTGAGCTTCAGGTACTTTCTCTTTTCACGGGAAGATGCTCGCTCCTTATGGAGTACCTTTGTGTAAAAAGGAAATGGGTGAGCAGAGTAAAACTTGTTTACTTGATTGGTGAGGCTCGGACCAAGTTGTGCGCAGCCCAGTGCAACATTTTTTTTTTTTTCAAGCAGAAAACAAGCTTTTGCAAGCTGTCACTGTGAAGCTCGTTGTAGCTAAACCACTTTGAAAAAGTGATTTCAAAGGCGCCTACAAACGCGAACAGCTTCTTCTAAAGGCCTACCCATTCTTCTTCTAAAGGCCCGCTTCTTCTTCTAAAGCTTCTTCTAAAGGCCCGCACGAAAGGGGCAAAAGCGGTTGGCCACCTGGGAGGGGGGCACAGAATCTGTTCTATACGCTGACTAGGCAGCGGGGCACTCTATTAGTCATCTAAAAGGGGTGAGTAAAATCTGCCTCATACACTGATTTAATAGGAAGGAGCAACCTGCAATGAACCTTCACCCCCCCCCCCCCCTGAACGGCAAGTGCGCCCATGGGTCTACCAGTTCCTTTCAATGCGGACAATTTCAGCCAATTACAGTGTGCTCAAAGTGCCGGGAGATGTACCGCTCGCTTAAATGCAGCTCGCACACAGCCGAGTTTTCTTGAAGCATCTTCTCAGCACGCGGGATCACTCTCCGCCACTGCGCTAACAGAGCTTCGTCGTTCGCAACGCCGAACAACGCATGCTTTTTTTGCTGACTTGTAGCCTGTAGTGAGCCCCGGTACGAATCAATGGCTTGGTTTTCGCGCCATGAGAATGCATACGCAAGCATTGGTGTTAGAGTGTCACCGCAATTAAAAAAAGACGAGGACGAATGCGCCCGACGAAACTGTCGGAAAAGTGCAAACAACGTATAAACGATTGCGCGCGCCTCCATGCGGCTCCTCCTCGGAGGCTTCAGTGCGCTGCATAGGCGCCGCTTGCCACTTATCCCACTTTCCTATTCTAGCCACTGTAACGTGGCTGCCAGCGTGAACACTCCGCGGGATGTTCGATTTTGCTTCACTGTCATCATCCTACTGGCCGCTTACTTGAATCCAAATCCAGGTCTTTAAGCCCATCGCACGTCGTGTTCTGGTCACGTCATCAGCGTATGAAGGACTCCGTGAAAGGCTTGTCTACCGCACCACTAGCGAATGCAATGTTTACGCTAGCTTCGGCTCTGAAGAATTCGTTCATTGTACGTTTCATTGGCCACGCTTCCGGTGACTTGGACTGCAACGTAGCCGAGGAGGAGTTCACTAACCAATCCACCGCGATGCTTGGAAACCACAAGGGGGCTGTTCCAGATACCGGGAATCGCCGAGTGTCACGCCTCAAGGCACATTGCCGCAACCATTCGAGCTGGACGGGTCTAGGAAGCAGATTCCGGAGCTGCCGACGAAGACGCTCTGGGCAGCAAGTCGTACCTTCCCTTAGCTCTACAATGTTGGCATAGCCCGGCGCACTTGTCTTCAAGGCGGCGTCAACCCCTTCGCATATGTTATCGCCAGTTCGCTACGGCAGGCTTTCGTCGCGTAGTCAACGCCCACCATCAATGTAAGGAAAAATTTGGTCTTCGAAGCTGCCACGCCCTTGTCACAGGCCCAGCATGAAGCAGTGGATCGTTAAAGCGAATCTTCGGTTGCCTTTTAAAACCTGGCAAGCGCAAGACTTTACTTCGCATGACCGAATCATCCTCCGAGACGCCTAGCGCATGGCTAGAGCTGGCACAGCGATCTGTATCGCACGCCACCGGTGACGATGACGTCATTTCGGTGACGCGGAATGTCGAGTACGCGGACAGCTCTGGACCCTTCACCGGCTGTTCAAGCAGCGTTATCAAGCGTCGTAGAGCAAGCCGACACCATAAACTTCCCACGCTAACCCGGGTACCCGGACGCTTGCACACTACGGTAAGGCATAACCACTGTAGTCATTTAGGGCCACGACAAGCGTCTGTTTCCACCAGCCCGTCACACGTCCTCGGGCGTCTAACGAGCCAATACAAACGTCAGTTATCGAGCCCCTCATCGACTACAGCTGCAGAGGAAACGACGACGTCGCTATGCGCACCTGTAGCGTACTCGTATAGCACCACGCCTGCGGCTGATGCACCTTCAAGTCGCACACGCCACACACCTTCATCGTTTTTCTGCTTCGGGCCGCAGTTACCCGGGTGAACGCAAGCGAGCGGTTACATCTCCGACGAGCAGAGGTGTACCGAGGAGTTCACGACCTGAGATGCGCGGCGAATACATCGTCGGGCAACCGGCAACCGAGTGACTAGGCCCAGTAGAGCGTCGTAAACGCCGTGGACAACTTCGGGGTAGTGAGACCGAACTGCTGGCTACTTACATGGATCGAGGCCGGACAGCGTCGTCCACACGTTGAGCCCACGAACCACAGCCTGGCGTTATCAACGGCCTAACCTATGTTTCTGAACATTGTAAATATTTGAATAGTTAGATTTTTTGGTTGCCGCTAAAGTTGCAATTCCTGTAGGTCGTAATAAATGTCTTACGAAGCGAATGCACCTTTTACTTAAGGGTGAAGGGGGGGTGTATTAGGTGTTTGATACGCCTGGGTGCTCTCGAGCTTAACCCCTTAACTTGGGTTAAACGAAAATTAGTAAAGGAGGGTAAGATGATTTGACGAATACGACCTGCTGCTCATGACATGATTGTCACAATCCCGTCGTTTACGTCCTCAAACACTTTTCGACAGAGGGTGGCAAATACCCGCGGGTGTTACGTGCCACTGGTGTGTGGTTACGTGCAAGCAGTGATTGAGAGTTTACATCAACCCAGGAATGGGGAGTACGGCCATAGGTAATTTTAACGCGTGAGCATCAACAAAAAATTTTTTAATCTTGTAACCTTCAAAAACCGGGGGGGGGGGGGGGGGGGACTCATGGGCAGACCGTTGGCAGGAGCACACCACTACTTCATCTTCAGTTTTTGCCGAACCTTGCGATCTTGAGGGCTTCACATAAGCGGGGGGGGGGGGGGGACGCTGCAGTTGGGTGCCTCGATGCTTGCTCTTGCACGCATTGGGGACACTACGCTGCGGCGATTCTTCGCCCCCTTGTAAAACACCAAACAATGTACAAGATAGGGCATGCCTGTGGTGGCAATGATTAAATCACCTAATACATCGTGGTGCACACATACATATGCAAGACTCGTCGGTATTTGCATGCGTTGCACGATACATTTAAAAATACCTCATTTACACTCACACAATTGCTGTGCCCAGATTTCAGAGTTGGTTTTACAGAAAGTGTGTTGTCCTTGACAGTTGAGAAATTGAAACAAGACCCTTGGGACACTTGCGAATGATGTCTTTCCTAGACTGAAATCAAGGGGAGTCATGGCAGAAAGCTACCATGAGGGATAAGGCAGAAAGCTGGATGCCACTAATGCCATCGAAGCTTAATTGAATAAACATTTTGTCAAATTGGATGGCTATTATTATAATATAGAAGCTAAAGTTGACTAGTAAGGGACCCACAAGTGGCGAGATCTTTCTCAGCTTTACAAGTTTAGAAGCTCAAGGAGTGCTTTACCATGGTTGGATAGCGATGCAGGTCAGTAAAGGTGAATTTGTCAATCTGGCGAACACTGGGATTACGCCGATGTTGCATAAACTTTTATTGCATTATTAGCCATGCAAATCAGAAAAGGTGTTTTCACTCAAAGTAAGTTTGACAGATCTTCTATAAAGGGAAAAGACTTTAAACATATTGCCACGTTCATTTCCCAAGTTTTTGTTATCGTCCCAAAACACCACACGATTCTCAGCGCAAACCGCGCCTGCAGTTTTGGAGAAGGTTCCGGACTGTAGTAGATCATTTCGATAAGATCACTCCCACTGCGCGAACGGTACAGATTGTTCTGGAACCTACGCCACCGCCAGCGATAACGCTAGAACATTCGACGGCAAGAGTATAAATGCCGACACGCTTCGCCGCTTGTCAGTTGTTGAACGAAGGCTGACGCTCCGTTCGCCGCTATCAGTCCGAGACTGCTATCTTTGCGAGACTGCTGCTGTAATTGGACTTTCCGTTTACCGGGCACAGGTTCGCCCAAATAAACAGTTAAATCCCAACACGAAGTCTCCTGTCTTCGGCCACGTCATGACCCCTTGACATCTGGTGGAGGTGCTGGGTATCGATCCCAGTACCTCTCGCATAGGTGATCCTCAATTCGGACAGAGTACGCTGCATAATTTTTAAACACTTTATTTACACTCTGTTCTGGTATGTTCTTATGGCTAAAGTATACAGCAAAGTGTTGGTCAGAAGGCACCTAAAAGGTAAGGAGGCAGACACAGCACACAATCCAAGCTGCCAGATTATATTTTCTTTGCTGCAGAATGCTTGGAGTCCCGATGATGTGCTGCCTCTCACAGAAAAAAATATAAAGACTTGAAAGCAGTGCACGCTGCACATAGCTCAGTTGACCAGGAACAGACGTGGGCAGTCGCAGATTGAAGGCACAGACGTGGAAATTGCTCAGTCCAGAGGCACAAACTGAAGTACGCTTTGTGGAACAGGCTTGTCGATTGCCTCCAGGTCCACAAAGTCATCTGTATAAATGGTGGATGAGAATGAGCACATACCAAGAAAATTTTACTCGCAGCTTTGGATTGAGGCTAAATTAGAGTTTAGTCATCTCGGGGTGACGTGTTTTATAATAAGGTGTTCCATACAGTCAGCTGCATTATATCTCCTTCAGGCACAATGTCTACCTTTCAGGACAAGACATTTCCATGAAAGAGCAATAAAAACACATTTGGACTCATTTAACTCTCACCCTATTCAGAGAGAGATTTCATTTCTCTTCAACGGCCCCGCCGCGGTGGTCTAGTGGCTAAGGTACTCGGCTGCTGACCCGCAGGGCGCGGGTTCGAATCCCGGCTGCGGAGGCTGCATTTCCGATGGAGGCGGAAATGTTGTAGGCCCGTGTGCTCAGATTTGGGTGCACGTTAAAGAACCCCAGGTGGTCGAAATTTCCGGAGCCCTCCACTACGGCGTCTCTCATAATCTTATGGTGGTTTTGGGATGTTAAGCTCCACATATCAATCAATCAATTATTTCTCTTCAACGCGCACGTATTTTTGCAGAAAGTAAGCTTTTCTGAAGACATACCTATCATTGCGGAGTGGCTCAACGTGTTATATTCTGGAATCGACATCAAAAATAGTGTATCATTCGTTGCCTCGCAGTTAATACCACTAATAGAAAATTGTACATGTACTATTTAAAGTCCTTCTACTAATAAATAAACATATCTTCTTACGCCGTAATTACATGTACTTACTAAAGAATGCTTTTTAACATAGAACCAGATTTTACGGTGTGCCTCGCAATATGGTATGCCTCACAATAAAGCACAAAAGTTTGACAAGACAACGCATCACAATTCACACCTTGTTGTGACAATGCATGAGGGACAACTTACACCCGCGTTATCGCCACCGTAAGCTTTTATTTAGGCGTTCCTGCTCATTTAGGCGTTTCTTCAGTGTAACACACAATGTGACACTTTCTATTGTATCACACCCCTATATAATGCCACTGACCTCGTGACCATAGTAATCATGTCACTCTGTTGGAATGCGAAGGCATAATTCTGGCTTCAAAGACGTAGTTGAAGAGGACCAGATTCTAGTTCTAGATGCCTTTACTCTCATGGAAGTATAATGAACAGGATGCATATTGTGATAAGAACCGAGACATGCACATGTAGGTATAAGTTCGTGACAAATTTTTTAAATGAGGGACAAATAAAGTGTACTACCAAGGATTAGCTGGAGATGGTCACGGTAATAATACGAAGAATCTTGAACTTAGTGCCACAGGCATGGAACGAGGTTTAGCCATGCCAATGCGAGTATGTGCCATGGTGTGAAAAAAGAAGAGGACTCTTGGTGTGCTCGTGCTCTAACGTTCGGTTTGGCTCGACGTCCAGCGCTGCTCCTGTGAACAGACGTTGTGATCGTTCTGTAAACATGGGACATTTTCTGGTGGAGGTGCTGGGTAGTGTTGTATGCACTGCAATCAGCAGCAAGGTCCCGACACTAGCCGCGACTTGGAAGAACCAGCTGACCTACTGCGTAGCAGGCGACAACTAGGCCTACCTCCTGAATTCGGACCATTTCCACAACTCTGCAGTACTATGGCTAGTGCGGGAACGCAAACCCAAGAAACATCAATGCTGCCTCGTCCATGGTTCTTCAATGCCCCGCGAACCCCGAAGCCGTTCCACGGTGACCCTTACGAGGATGTCGACGACTGGCTTGACGACTACAACCGTTGCGGCAGCGTCAACGAGCGGAACGAGCAGCGAAAGCTTCGGTATGTCTACTTTTATCTCGAGGACTGTGCACGCACTTGGTTCAAAAACCACGAAGCCACTATGACAACCTGGCCAGAGTTTTGCAACCTGTTGCGGAATTCCTCCCGAAGCTCTGACCGAAAGGAGCAAGCGGAACGGCTCCTCAATTCCCGAAACCAGCGTCCGAACGAGAGTGTTGCCATGTTCGTTGAGGACATGTCGCGGCTGTTCAGGTGAGCTGACTCCTCAATGACTGAACAGAAGAAGGTGCGCCTCCTAATGCAGCGAGTGAAAGTGCAGCTGTTTGCGGGACTAGTGCGGAACCCTCCCAGCACTGTAGAGTATTTCCTCCGCGAAGCCACGACAATGGAGAGAAGGCTAAGGCAGCGTTCGTACCAGTAAGAGCGTCCTGGCAGTCTTTCGTCAGTGTCGTTGGCCCTGCCAACACCTGACATCACGACTGTAAGAGACCTGACGGAGCTCGTGCGCAGTATTGTGCGCGAGGAGCTGCAAAAGCTGAACGTGGTGTCTTCTCCACCCCATGTTGCTGCTCTAACGGATGTCGTTCGCGAAGAGGTCCGGCAGCTGCTGCACCCCGTGACGACTCCCGCGTGCAGCCGAAGTCCAACCCATGGCGGCCCCGCGTCCAGCCAAAGCTCCGCTATCAACGTACGCCAAAGCAGTACGTACTCCTGCACCAGCTGTTGGCTATCCGTTCCGTCCGTCCACCCTGCAGACGGCGCCGTCATTCTACTCAGGACCACCGCAGTACGGCAACCCACCCCTTACACGAAAATCCAGTGTATGGCGTTCTCCCGACAACCGGCCTCTATGATATCACTGTGGTGAACCAGGTCACATCTACCGTGAGTGCGTATACAGGCACATGGGTCTTCCTGGCTTTCGTCCGGATGCTCGTCGACCCAGAGATGGTGAGCGGCCCCGTGCTATCGCCGAATACTTGGCAAGGCAACGATCCTCAACCCTTCCGTGTCACCAATCCCGCTCACCGTTTCCACGGCGTTCCACGTCACCCGGCCAACAATGGTCCTTGCAGGAAGATCGCCTAGATCCACAATCCCGCGCCGGGGAAACTAAGAACAGCGACATCTGGGGGTGAGGCCACTGTTGATCGACCGTTACAAGACCCTCCCCCGATCTGCCTGCCGACATCCGACGATATCCTTTCACCGACGTGTGCCATCGACGAAAAACGTGTATCTGCTCGCATCTCTGTCCTTGTCGACAACCACCCGCTGACCGCTCTGGTAGATACGGGTGCCGATTATTCCGTTATAAGCGCTGACCTCGCTGCACAGTTAAGAAAGGCAACGACACCTTGGGGACATGGAACCAACCTCCGGACTGCGGGAGGTGACCTATTGACACCGCTGGGAATGTGCACTTCCCGCCTCCGAATTCGTGAGACGACGTACATTGTTTCCTTCGTTGTATTGCGCGAATGCTCCCAAAACCTGATTCTCGGAATGCATACTCTTCGCGAACATGGAGCCATTATTAACCTTCGCTACCTGCTCATAACGTTATCCAACGACCATACAGCCCTAAAAAAGGATGCAGTTGCGCAGATCACAACACTTCGAATTGCTGATGACACTATCGCACTTCCGCCGCGAGCCAGTATGTTGGTAACTGTGGAGAGCGACTGTGACAACAAGAGTAGTGGCATCGCGGAAACTAACCTCTCGGTGCTCTTGGCTCGGCACATTTGTGTCGCGCGCGCTATCGTCCAACTGAAACATCGGAGGACTGAGCTTCTGATTGTGAATTTGGGCGGCCAGTACCAACACTTGGCAAAGTGAACAGCGATCGCGAGCTTTGAAACCATCGATGACGAAGAATGTTCCACTATCGCTCCCATTGTCGCTGCTGCCGAAGGTAACACTGCATTAGCCAGTACAGTTGACGTGAATTGCCAGCTATCCTCTGCACAGCAGCAGCAGATACGCATGATTTTACGTACGTATAGTGACTGCTTTGCGTCCACCTCCAAAATCAAGCAGACCCCAACCATGAAGCACCGCATTATAACGCCTACCGAACGGCCTATAAGACAGCACGCCGACCGCGTGTCGCAAAAAGAACAAGAGGCAATACGTTTTCAAGTGAAACAGATGCTCGACGACGACGTCATCCAATCCTCGAATAGTCCATGGGAGTCACCCGTCGTACTTGTTAAAAAGAAAGACGGCACTCTTCGATTTTGCGTCGATTACCGCCAACTCAACAAGGTGACGAAGAGAGACGTCTACCCTCTCCCACGCATAGATGATTAACTGGATCGACTTCGACATACTCGATATTTTTTATCAAAGGGTTTACGCAGCGGCTACTGACAGATCGAGGTCGATGAACGCGACAGGGAAAAACAGCATTCATAACTCCCGTTGGCCTCTACGAATTCAAAGTGTTACCATTTGGATTGTGCTCTGCACCGGTAACGTCCCAAAGGATGATGGACACAGTCCTGTCCGGTCTGAAGTGGGAATCCTGCCTCGTGTATTTAGACGACGTTGTTTTTTTTAACATTTGAGCAACATTTACAACGACTCCAGTCCGTCTTCGTCGCTATTCGATCCGCAGGCCTATTGCTAAATACCGGAGAAGTGTCATTTCGGCTACGAAGAACTGAAGTTCTTCGGCCACCTTATCAGTCACGATATTCTACCAGACCCAAAAAAGACCATGGCCGTTGCTGCATTTCCTCCACCTTCGAACAAACGGGATTTGTGCCGGTTTTTGGGGTCTCTGCGCCTACTACAGGCGCTTTGTTCAGAGCTTTGCCAACATCGCTGAACCCCTTACCCGTTTAAAGAAGGAGGATGCTCCTTTTGTGTGGGGTCCAGAGCAGAGAGCCGCTTTTTCCAAGCTTCAATAGTGCCTTCAGAGTGAACCCTTACTAGGGCACTTTGATGAAGATGCCGCCACCAAACTTCACACTGACACAAGCAACATCGGTCTTGGTGCAGTGCCCGTCCAGTGGCAAGACGGCACTGAACGTCCCATCGCTTATGCTAGTCGCATTCTGTCATTTGCGGAAACTAACTACTCGACCACAGAGAAGGAATGTCTTGCTTTTATTTGGGCGATAACAAAGTTCCGACCGTATCTGTATGGCCGTCCATTCAGAGTAGTTACGGACCATCATGCCCTCTGTTGGCTGGCCAATCTCAAGGACCCTTCAGGGTGCCTCGCGAGGTGGAGCCTGCGCCTTCAAGAATTAGAGGTTACAGTCGTCTACAAGTCGGGCTGCAGGCAGACTGTTGCTGATTGCCTCTCGCGCGCTCCCCTCACTACGACATCAACTGACGATGACACCGATGGCGATTTTCTTTGTGCAGTCCGTGAATCTGACTTGGCCCAACAACAGTGGAATCATTCAGAGATCCGACAACTTATCAAATACCTTCAAGGTCACAGCTCGAGTCCACCATCGTCATTCGCACGTTCAGGGTCATTTTGTCTCCGCAACGACATCGTCTACAAAAAGAACTTCGAACCTTATGCGACTGAATACCTCCTCGTCGTTCCACCAGGGCTACGTGCTGACATTTTATCTGCCTACCACGACGAGCCTTCCTCCGGCCACCTAGGATTCGCACGTACCCTTGCCCGGATTAGGACTCGCTACTACTGGCCAAAGCTCACCCAGGATGTCAAGCATTACGTTAAAACGTGCAATCATTGCCAGCGCCGTAAAGCCCCACCTGTGTGCCCTGCTGGTTTATTGCAGCCCGTTGCACCCCCGTCACAAATGTTTGAACGAATCGGCATGGACTTGCTTGGACACTTCCCGAAGTCACATGATGGCAACCGCTGGATCGTAGTCGCCACTCACTATTTAACGAGGTACTGCGAAACGAAAGCCTTACAACGAGGCACCGCCAAAGAGATTGCGTATTTTTTTCATCAACAACATCGTCCTCGGCCATGGAGCGCCAACAGTTCTTATCACTGACCGTGGAACAGCCTTTACAGCCCAATTGATGCAAGACGTCACGAGACTTAGTGGAACAGCTCATCGCAAAACGACTGCATACCATCCACAAACCAATGGTCTGACGGAGAGATTAAACAAGACGCTCGCTGGCATGTTATCTTATGTACGTCGACCGCGATCACAAAAACTGGGACGACATTTTGCCATACGTAACGTTCGCTTACAACACTGCGGTTCAAGAGACTACGGGTTTCACTCCCTTCCGGTCGCTTCACGGTCGAGAAGCAGTTACGATGCTGGATGCCATGCTCTTGCCTGACGTGACCGATATTCCTACTGATGGGAACGAATTTATCCGGCTTGCCGACGCGGCCCGCCAGCTTGCGTTCGAGCGGATCCGAAAACAACAGCGCATCGACTCGCAGAGGTACAACTCCCTGTCATCGCCATGTCATTTACCAACCCGGTGATCTGGTGTGGCTGTGGATCCCCGTTCGCCAAAGGGGCCGCTCGGAAAAGTTACTTCATCGCTACTTCGGTACTTATAGAGTACTACGGCGCCTCACCGATGTCAAATACGAAATACTGCTTGAAGACACAACTCGGCGATCTCGATGTTCCCAGCAGGCGGACATTGTTCATGTGTCATGGATAAAGCCAACTACTCCCGAGCCACCTGACATTGCTTCATCATGCGTCTTTGTGCGTGTACGCGATTACTTTACCTTTTAATCCGCATTGGCCATCGGGGTGGTACTTTTTTTTCTAAGGGGGGTAATGCCACAGACATGGAACGAGGTTTAGCCATGCCAATGCGAGTATGTGCCAAGGTGTGAAAAAAGAAGAGGACTGTTGGTGTGCTCGTGCTGTATCGTTCGGTTCGGCTCGACATCCAGCGCTGCTCCTGTGAACAGACGTTGTGGTCGTTCTGTAATCACGTGACAGTATGTACCAAAATCGAGATATGAATTTGAAGCATGACGTAGTGGAGTGCTGCGGAAATTTCAACCACCAGCCTCAACCATTTCACCTCCGTTGAAGTGTGACCGCCACGACCGGGATCGAAACTGCAACCTTTGGGTCAACTGCCAAGCACTCAAACCGCTGTTTTATTGATGTGGACAGCTAGGAGTGGTCAGGTGAAACACTTGACCGTGTTATATCACTAATCTATCACCCTCACCTTTCGACATTTCAGAAGACTGAACTAATACATATTTACATCAAGTGATAAACTTGAAGGAAGAAAAATGATAAGAGCTCCTAGGTATCTTACTTCCCCTGTTGTCGTGACATAGGGAAAGTGAAGGCGAATGTCTGATGCGATGTACTAAACCTTCACTAAAAGTGCACCATGAAATCGGACAGAGCTTGCCAGATTTGTGGCAGGAGCATAGAAAGCCTCACTATGGGCCATACGAACGTGTCAAGCAAAAGACAAATCTGAAACAGCAACGCTGTCTGCGAGATGCCATTTCGCAGATGACAATTTTCAGCATCCTGTTTGTACTGGTAATGAGAGAGCAAACAACAGAAAACCAAACAATGAGAGACACTTGCGACACGCTACGTGCCCAGTAAGTGTGAGTCTGTTCTCCAAAAGGTTGTGCTGCCTCGATTCTGCACCAACTCGACAAGAGTTACGGTAATTTTTGCATCGCTATTGGTGTCCAGTGAAATCCTGGCAGCAAAAGTAGCTTTGTTCGAGCATACTCGGACGATGCCCGCGCACGCACGTTTCCCGTCCCGTTGAGCCGTGTTCCGCGGCAGCTCCAGCTGCAAATTTCTCCTACAATGATGCATCATCACCGCGTCGTCTGCCAGCGCGCATAGGCTGGCGGAATCACGCCACGCTCCACAGTGAACCTCAGCAGTGCCGTGGTGGCTTGCACTCGTGTCGTGGCCGGTCCAGCCAAACAAACCGCACTGCACGCGTCGTGCTCCGCTCAACGTATGGCACCGCAAGAGTGCACAAAAATCTACATCGATGCCGCCAGCCAAAGATCCCATGAGATTCCACAGTAGTTTTGCCATTTCAGGTTGCCATTTGCAGTAACATTTTTACGACACAAGGTAGTTTTTAGTAACATGCACCAACATCAGCATCACCCAGAGTGATTGTGCCAGGACAACACAAGCAAGCATAGCCACGCATTACCACAGTGGACATTTCTGGAGTGAGCTTATGCTTGCTGTGACACTAAATTCAATGTCTCCATTCTGAAACAACCTCAGCACTCAGCCTGGAAAAGTAATTTTTCAAGTGCTCACCTTCCATGTAGCCCAAGTCCAGCACGGGCGGGGGTGGAATTTCTGGGGAATCGGTGAAACAACCGCCACGCTGCGCCTAAGATGCTGCCTCGCGCCACGCAGGTCCCTAAACACCTCGAAGTGCTTGTCCTCCAGTTTGAATTCCTCAGGCAAGTCGAAGAAGCTCTCTGCAGAGAACGCGGAAAAGTGGTCGAATGCGAAAGGTATAGCTCACCACAAGTAATTTATATTTTTGTAATTTGCTCAAGAAAGGGGTATAGAAGTATAGTACTTCTTCGTTAGGCCCTTGCAAATACTCGCATATTTCGAATATTTGAACGAATATGACAGTATAAGAAATCACATAAATGCAAAGTTATTAAAAATAAATAGACCAGACCTGTACATGTTACAGAAACAGGGTCTATAGTTGTTTGCTTGACAAAAATTCAAGGGTTTTCAAGGACTTTTAAAGCTATGTGTGCAAAGTTTCAAGGACCACACTGTCCGTTAAAAACCCAATTAACAAGTGTTCAGGAGAGGATGAAGGCTCGAAATAACTAGAATGGTCAAAAAAGGGTAACGTAACATCACTGGAGCAGATGTCGAAAACACGGCTCCAATGATATTTTCTTACTAGACAACTTTCAATCAAACTTTCTCAGACTTGCATAGGTAATCACTTTCAGTATGACACAAGTTGCAAACTTTCACTCAGATAGGAAAAACTATGGAACAAATATAAAATACCTTGTTGCTTTTTCCGAATTTTCACATCAATATCCACTATCTCCTGCTGCTTGTTCGTGGCAGTCTTCCTAAGGACGTTTGACTTGATCCACATCAAGTCCCTAATTGTCTCTGCATTTCTGCATACAAGTCTGTTGTAGCTGTCAATTCTTCAACAGCAGCTTCTATTTTCCTTTTTTGTAAGCATTGCGCACCTCTTCCTGAGTGCAAGATTAATTTTTGTGTTTCTCTTCCTCCTGCTCCTGCCTTTTTAGAGTTTCCAGGAATCCACGGTATTGGTTCCTTGAAGAAGCTACCAATTTTAATTCTTTTATGATGGGCACAAAAAAAAGAAATTGAAGGATTTCGAAGGATTTGTGGAAATTCCACCACATTCAATGCCTTGAAAATACTTTATGAACTTTTGAAACTCAAGGGTATTCAAGGATTTCAAGAACCCATGTGAACTCTGAACAAAATAGGTAGTAACTTATTACAATTACTTTAAAACGCAGTTGATCATAGAGGTGAAGTACAGTCCTCAAAAATAACTGAGTATTTACAGAAAAAAAATCAATTACTGTTGCATTACTTTGCTTGACTACTTTATTCACATAACACAAGCACACAAGGTTACTCAAACTACAACGAACTATTGCTGCTTGCATGGTCAAGAGGTTCAGAAGCTTGCGTGAAGGCTGGGTGGCTTACCGTGGCTGCTACAATGTAGTGTTACAGCTTTTTTCAATGAGAGTTCATTATCAAAGTTGTGGTTGCCGATTCTTTCATGTTTTTTTTTCATTAAGAGGTAAGCTCCTACACTAAACACTATCTTAATCCATGCGATAGAGGGAAGGGTGATGTCACGTAGGAACACCATGCACACCAGCCTGTGGTTGAGTACTGCTTTGATGCTAGTGTCGATGTCCTCTATGAAGCGACACGCTTTGCTGTGGCTTATTCTTGGGTAATGTGTTGCTGGTAAGACCAATAAAAAAGTGAGAAAAAAAGGCTCTGACGAGGGAGGGGGGACCTACAAAGCAGTTTCATAAGTTTTAGGACAAAAGCTGCTGTAGAAAACTGGTTACGTGTTTATTTTGGAAAAAAATGTGACAACCTGTAATCAATTGCAAGAATGTCATTGAATTTTCCAGCATATTACAGTTTCTGAAAAGTAACCGATTATATTATGAAACTACAAAATGTAATTGATTACAAAGAATCTAACGTTACTGAGTTAATACAACTCTGAAATGTAACCGCATGTAGTCCTCCCTGTAAAGATGGCTTCAATGCAGTAGAGAGTTGCTGTTCTGTGATTGTATATCCACCTATATGCATCTTTAAACAAAGCAGTGTTGCGTTTGGCGGGCCACTCTTTTGCCGCGGACGCCAAAACGGAAGAAAAGCAGCCGCCTCATTTTGTGGAGATAAGAAGCAGCGTCAAAACGCCCTGCTGTTTCCATGTATGGGCACTGCACGGCTGAAATTACACTACGGAGCACCGCTGACGCCACGTGTTGCGCAGAGAGGCTACACGTGGCGTCTTCTTACCCCGGTAAAAGACACAATACCATGCTTCCGCCGATTACAAACGTCGGACCACCACACTGTGCGTCTGACTGGTGAGCCACCGACTCTCGAATCAGTACGAGATGTCCAGGTATGGCCCCTCGAAGGCGCCTAAATCGCGATCGCCGTTCGACAAAGCTTGGGTGGTCGGCGCGAGCGGCGAGATGACAAACACATTTCACCTCGCTCGCTGGGAGCAAGATTCGCCAGAGGAGGCAGCATCGCCGGGACCATACTTGTGTTTGGTTTGTGTATGTGTGTTTGTTAGGGGTGGTGCCGGCATAATGACACTGGTGTGTGCTGCGCGGCATGTTACGGGACAGTGTCATAAGGACCTGTTCCGCGATCTAGAGATCGGGGGAGATCAGACTGTATTTATTCAGCCCTTGCGGGATGCTTAGAGTAGTTGACGGAGTTCAATAGACAGCCTTTTTCAATGTAGAGCTTTCAATGCAAAGCTTCGGGTTAGAGAGCCCGTGCCATGTAAATATTGTAAATAAACCCTCCCTACGAAGTTCAACCTCCTCCTGCCTCGAAGTCTGGATCCCGGATCTCCGGTGCCGCAAACCCCGGTCGCAACAGCAGGCAGTGTAGCTGCGCTAACAAAGTCACGAAAACGTAAAGTATATTACATCAAAAGACTGGCAAAAGAAGTCTCTGGCTTTCCCATTGTCTGCCGTTGACTGGGCTGGTGTACACTCCAAGACTTCACTTTGAGAGCTGTCACCACACCCTAATTATCAGGGGAGGCACCCCATACCTTACTCAGTTGGAACTGCATATACCGCCATTCCACAAAGGTTTTCAACAGTAACGGCTGCCGAGGACTTACAATACTGCATTCCAAGAACTGCCTACTTCCCCGAATTTCACTCCCGACAAGCTGGAGAGCAAAAGGAAGCACTTCTGAAAAGCAGTACATCGCTTTCTTATCAACGTATGTTTAACTTCAATGCTATACTACATAAAGAGATCAAGAAAAGGGGTATTGGCGATTGTGATGATCAGTAAAATGACTACATATTTGCTGGGAAAATGCTCGTAAGCCAAAAAACGCAGCAGGTGACCAGAGAATCGTACAACGGGCTCTGCAACAACAACAACAAAAAAGCCCAAATCTGCCTATTATAGATGGAACTGGCTCCTTTGGTTAGGACTCCCAACGAGCACAGTGAACAACAGTACAGTGTACTTTAACTGTCTTGCTGTCAACCTATGCAAGCAACGCATGGCTGAAATGTTCGAGGCTACGTCACATTGGTTCATCGGATCAGCTGGCGCCACTACCTCACTGGATAATCAGCTTACAGAAAACACTAGACTTAACCCCTTTCCTCCCCCATCCCCGTCGATGACTCTATAATGGACACTGGGTGCATATAATGATTTGCCGACTCCGTAAGGACAAACTTATGGCCGTAAAGTCATAAGGTCAAAGAGGGCCAAATAGTGCCAAAAAAGGCAGATCCTACGTACAGTAGGAATCGAAGATATCCCTATTGAAAATCCTGGGTTGGTGGATGCTGGAATCGTTGGTGGATATGGTGGAAAGAATAGTTGATATGCTGGAAATATTAGTGGATATGGTGGAAACTGTAGTGGGCATAATGGCTGATGATGGTGAGAGTGTAAAAATGATGGCAGATGGTGAAGGCGAGCCAATGGTGGTGGCGGTGGCGAGCCAATGGTGGTGGCAGTGGAAAATGCCGGCTGAAAACGGCTAGAGTGGAAAAAATTGTGGCAGATGGTGGTAGTGGTGGGGAGCCAATAGTGGTGACGGTGGAAAATGCCGGCTCATGGTGGCGAGGCAAAACGTGTTTGGTAGAAAACTAGGTGAGCAAGGTGGATGACGGTGGCATGATGGAAGCTTGGTGGATGGCGGAGGCATGATGAAAAACAGTATGTGAAATTACTTATCTGTAGTGTTTCATTCTTGAATGCGCAGAGATATATGTTTACGGTCAAAAGAAACCAACGCTGCTCATTACGCTTTCTAGTACGTTTTTTTAATTCCTGTGGTGTCAACAACGCTTCATATTTTGTGTAGCACAGAGTATGCGGCCGGGAATATGTTTACATTTCGCGCACGTACTTACATCAATTTGACATCCGCGATGTGTTTTTTTTTTTTGATGGGATGTTCAGAAGACTGGAGTTGTCACTGTGATTATGACAATAAATTTTTTACATCGGCGCGCAGTTGTCAACAAATAAATGGGCTCCAGTTCGCAATTGCCCCTTTCAATGTTAGAGCAGAACACAGCGCAATCACTTGATGTCGCCACGCTAGAAACGCAACTCCGGTAATTCTTGCAAACCATTGTTTGAGCCGTACCTTTAGGTTAACAAAGTGCAGGCGAATACGCATAAACTTTCAACTTTCGACATGCGTCGAGATGAGGCCCAGCGAATTTGACTTTCACCGTTTTGTTCTACCACCATGATTTCCACAAAGGTTAGTCACACCGACCGAGATCGTACAGGTGTTATCGGCGCTTCTGGGTTTCAGAATACAAAATTTTGACGAGTAGAAATGACAATACAGCACAGCTGTAGCATCGTTTAACCTAAATGAAGCCTTTTTTATTGTGTACAGTGTCCGCGCAAGAAGCGACAAACATCAATGCGACGCGCTTGAAGCACTTCCACCAAAGGTACGCCTCCCCTCACCGACAGCCACCGGTCGCACTCACCGGCACTTCGCTGGCTCTTATGTGAGAACAGAGGTACGTCAATTCGTACACCTACTGAACCAACATGATAGCATAATGTTTTTGGCACACTGAATTCGTTTTGGACAAGCCGTTATGTAGCTGTTCTTAACGACAGAGCAACAGCGGTGCGCTGGCACTACTGCGGTGTGCGTTGCGCGAAAAACATCAAAATCAATTGCGTGGGCGTATCTATACCGAATGGGCATAGAAACGTAATAAAGCCTGAAGTGATATCGCCCTTTGGAAAGAGCGAGAAATGAATAATAAACTCTCCAGTAACCACCGATAAACTCTACCAGCTCCTCAGCCCACTGAGTTGTTTTTTTTCCCTTGCGGTGGTAAATGGTAACAAATACATAGCACCGTTGCCATTATCGCAGTGGCAATTGTTACAGGCAGCAGTTGTTCGTGTTTATCAAATGGGCAAAGTTTAGTAGCAGGTGCAGATCCTGTCCCTGCCGAGTGAATGACAAACAAAACCGAAGTTAAACAGTGATTTTGTGAGTTGACTACTTCTTTAACAGCAGTGACGTCATCTGTCGGCGTAGCGCAGTGGTTAGTGCGCTCAGTTCATAATTCGGAGGTACAGGTTCGATCCCACGCTGGCGCAGCTTTTTCTTTCTTTTTTTACGGGTGCTTGCTACATTCTTTTTATATAATAATAATAAATATTTCTTTAGTGGCAGCTCGTAACGGTGGTTCTGGCGCTGATTCGCGCTCCACCATTGCCGGCTGGAGCGCGCCATCCACCATCCGCTCCACCATAGCCACCATACACCATGTGCCACCAACATTTACACCGCCATAAGTCCACCAAAATGGTGGTTGGTGGAATCCATCATTCCGGACGTTTTTTCAATAGGGATGTGAAGCAAGAATGAGAAATTTTGATATGTCACTTTGAAGTAGGCACAACATTACGAGGTGGAAGTAAATGATGCCGTACATGACTTCCGTGTCATGATTATGTTTGGATGTGTCGTTTACCTTCGTCGACTATTCATGTCACGTGATACCAAATTTAATATATGTGGAGCTAGCGAAACAGCCGCGAGCACGCTATGAGCGTGGTATGTTGTCATGTTTTCAGATGACACGCGTCCCATGATTATCATGTTTGCACCAGTCATACACCTTCGTCATCCATTGACGTCACATCACACCAAATTTGGTATATGTGGCGCTAGCGAAACGGCCTCGACTGCATCATGAAGGGCCCAATATACTCCAATTTTCCGTTGACGCGCGCGCAGGCTGAGCACAGTGACGCTACGTTAGCAAAACGCGAGCGCTCTATAGTCTGACGCCAGGCGCGACAAGCGTCCGTCGGTGCGGCCCGACGGAAACCGGCGTGAAATGCGACATGCTGTATTTCGCGCTGACGCGTTACCCAGACAACACTGGGTCTCCCCGTTTTCGTGACGGAGGCACGCCGGACGCGCTGAAACGCGCATGCGTCAAAGCAACGCAGTGCGGTGCGCACCTGTGAGTATATGGCAGGACCGGTGCCTTGCGTGGCAATGCTGGCGTGACGCAATGAAATGAACGCCGGCGAGCACGTGCACCGCGTCGAAATGTATTGGCGCCTTGAATGTGGCATGTAGTCATGTTCTCACATGACAGGCATCTCATGATTATCATGCTTGCACCGGCCGCATACCCTTGTCACCATAAGCATCTGTCAAGTTTGGCATATGTCAAGCTAGCGAAACGGCTGCGAGTGCATCATAAGCGTGGCATGTAGTCATGTTACATGACACGCATGTCGTGATTATCATGTTTGGATGTGTCAATTACCAATGTCGTCCAGTTCACGTCACATAATACCGAGTTTGGTACATGTGAAGCTACTGAAACAGCCGCCAGCTCATCATGAGCGTGGCATGTAGTCATGTGTTACATGACATGCATCTCATGATTATAATGTTTGCATCAGTCACATACTTCGTCATTTATTCACACACTGTAATACCAAATATGGTTTATGGGACGCTAGCGAAACGCCTGCAAGCGCATCTTGAGCGTGGCATGTAGTCATGTTATTACGTGACACCCATGTCATGTTTTTCTTGTTAAGGTCTGTCATTTGTGTTCGCCGTGCAATCATGCCATACCATAGAAGTTTTGCAACAAGCCATGTGAACGAAACCACCGCAAGAGCTGCAGGACCATGACATGTAAATTATGACATTCATGGCATACATATCACGATTCTCATGTTATGACCAGTCAATTATGCTCACCATACAGTCATGTTATGTCATACCAATTTGGTATCGATACCATTATCGAAACGGCCAGGAGAGCTAAATGTCGTAGGCGGCTAGATAGATAGATAAATACGCTCAAAGTCGCCGAAGTTTTCTAAGAAATGCTTCGACATTAAAAAAAGCAACAGCTTGCATTCAGCCAGAAAGCCTTGCACAGCAGAACTGGACGTACACGATTCTGAAGATTGATCTGGTAGCTCCTAGGTCGTCTTTATAGGCCTTAGCTATAAGTGATGCAGCTAAAAGGTTGATTTTAAGTTGTTGCTAGACTTTAGCTAGGTCGTTTTTATGTCTATTTTCAGCTAGGAGAAGTTCGATTTGAACCGCAGATAGTGACACGACACGGGCACGTCATCATCGGCGTAGACTAACCGTCACTTCGGAGCCTTCTAACAGCTGCCGACGTTTTTCCCAGTACCTAGTATTATCTCGTCCTTGGCTCACCTCCCTCTGCTTCGCAGCCATTTGTTGTTCAGTTAAGAGTTGCCTTTACCTTTAGTTCACCATTGGTGAGTAGTTGGGATTTACACTATTTCTGTGGCACATACCCGTTAATGATAGCTTTTTGGTTCATGGACAAGGAACAATTTGCTGAACAGTTTCCCATTTGAAAAAGAAAAAAAGCTATAAGGACTATAAGCTATAAGCTATAAGACCTGACACGAGGACGCTTTTGTTTAGAGTCCCCCCATCAATGTGATCTGGATTTTTATTTTATTTGAAAGAAGTTGCACAAGGCCTAGCTACAGAGGTCAGCCTAGCATATCGCAGCAACATGAAAAAAAAAACCTGAGGCTTCGAGCTAGAATTCCCAAACCTATGACATACCTGAGCAATCGAGCTTGTTGTGCATCTCTTCCATGGAAAGGTCGCCAGCCTTCTCTTCAGGACTCTGCAGTAAGCAGCACACAGGCAGTCTTGAAAACAGCAAGGTGAACTTCCAAACCAACAAACTAACTTCTAGTCCAACATCACACAATAAGGAAATCATCATCATCATCATCATCAGCCTGACTACGTCCACTGCAGGACAAAGGCCTCTCCCATGTTCCGCCAGTTAACCCTGTCCTGTGCTTGCTGCTGCCAATTTATACCCGCAAACTTCTTAATCTCATCTGCCCACCTATTCTTCTGTCTCCCCCTAACCCGCTTCCCTTCTCTGGGAATCCAGTTAGTTACCCTTAATGACCAGCGGTTATCCTGTCTACGCGCTACAAGCCCGGCCCATGTCCATTTCCTCTTCTTTATTTCAACTATGATATCCTTAACCCCCGTTTGTCCCCTAATCCACTTTGCTCTCTTCTTGTCTCTTAAGGTTACACCTACCATTTTTCTTTCCATTGCTCGCTGCGTCGTCCTCAATTTAAGCTGAACCCTCTTTGTAAGTCTCAAGGTTTCTGCTCCGTAGCTAAGTACCGGCAAGATCCAGCTGTTATATACCTTCCTCTTGAGGGATAGTGGCAATCTACCTGTCATAATTTGAGAGTGCTTGCCGAATGTGCTCCGCACCGTTCTTATTCTTCTAGTTACTTCAATCTCGTGGTTCGGCTCTGCGGTTATTACCTGCCCTAAGTAGACGTAGTCTTTCACAACTTCAAGTGCACTATTACCTATCTCGAAGCGCTGCTCCTTTCCGAGGTTGTTGTACATTACTTTCATTTTCTGCAGATTAATTTTGAGACCCACCTTTCTGCTCTCCTTGTCTAACTCCGTAATCATGAGTTGCAATTTGTCCCCCGAGTTACTCAGCAATGCGATGTCATCGGCGAAGCGCAGGTTACTAAGGTATTCTCCATTAACTCTTATCCCTAACTGTTCCCATTAAGGCTTCTGAAAGCCTCCTGTAAGCACGCGGTAAATAGCATTGGGGAGATTGTGTCCCCCTGCCTTACACCCTTCTTGATTGGTATTCTGTTGCTTTCTTTATGAAGCACTATGGTAGCAGTTGATCCCCTGTAGATTTCTTCCAGAATGTTTATATATACTTCATCTACGCCCTGAATCCGCAGTGTCGGCATGACGGCTGATATTTCTACTGAATCAAACGCCTTTTCGTAATCTATGAAGGCTATGTATAGTTGTTGGTTATACTCTGAGCATTTCTCTATTACCTGATTGATAGTATGAATGTGGTCAGTTGTTGAGTAGCCTGTTCGAAATCCTGCTTGTTCCTTTGGTTGATTTAATTCTAATGTTTTCTTTACTCTGTTAGCAATTACCTTTGTAAATAGCTTGTATACTACAGAGAGCAAGCTGATCGGCCTGTATTTCTTCAAGTCAATAAGGACATACCGATTCTTAACTCGTGAATCTGAACTGCACAATACAGAAAAATGTCACGAGACATAATAAATTTTACTGTGACAAAACAATACTATATAGCAAAATTAATTGCCAATTTAGGATTCGAACCCACTACTCTGGGCCAGCAGTTGAGCACCAAAACCACTAGACCGTTGTATTGGGAATGTTTACACACCCATCATCACACCGAATCATCATCACACACACAATTCTTTCATATGTCGGGTTTAACGTCCCGAATCCAACGTATGATTATGAGACACGCCGTAGTGGAGGGCTTCCGAAATTTTGACCCCCTGGGGTTCCTTAACGTGAACCCAAATCAGAGCACATGGGTCTACAGCATTTTTGCCTCCATTGAAAATGCAGTCGCCATAGCCGGGATTCGATACCGTGACCAGCAGGTCAGCAGTCGAGTACCTTAGCCACTAGACCACCACGGCAGAGTCTCACACGCACAATAATCTTGAATCCTTGTCCTATCCATTGACGAAAAGATATGCCAGTCTGTGTTGATTTGGTTCATATGTGGGGTTTAACGTCCCAAAACCACCATATGATTATGAGAGACGCCGTAGTGGAGGGCTCATTCCAGCGCACATAATTTTCACCGAAGGAAGTCGTGGGTCTAGAAGCTCCAGCTAGTTCATTTAAGGGACTTCGTGAATAAAAGCGTGACCCACACCTTGCTGCCTGAATGATATCTGAATTTCATCAAGACCCTGGCGGTGAACGTCAGTATTTCCAAATATAATATCATCGGAGTAGCTGAAAACGACACATTACGGATTACCAAGACGACCTTCCTGTCTGTAAAACCTTAAAACAATGTCACAGATCATGTAAGCGATGCATGGTTTTATGCACATCCCACATTTTTAGACTTACGCACTAGGCGTGAAACAAAAGTACTTTAAAGGTAAAGTAAGTAAAAAACTTCTATGTTAAAAGAATAACTAAAACTTCTAAGTAAAAAGACTAACTAAAACTTTTAAATAAAAAGACTTTTAAAGAAATACCCCAACCTTCCTCATTTTCATACACCATTTAGTTGCTTACGCATTTTACAACCTGAGCAGGCAGAGGGGAATATTACAGGTTTTAGGGGCGAAGCGCCTTAGGTTGTGGGTCTGTACTGTGGTTCTTTAACATGCCCTCAAATTTGAGCACACGGGCCTACAACATTTCCACCTCCATCGGAAGTGAAGCCACCAAAGCCGGGATTAAATCTCCGCGGCCTGCGGGTCAGCAGCCGAGTACCTTAGCCACTAGACCACCGCGGCGGGACGTGCCGGTCTGTATTGCTGCCACATTTGGCGTTCAGAGGCACTTCTTCGCTACGCAAGTTTGAGGAAGCCTCGACAAGTGACTGTAGTTTTGTTATTCCAGTCTGAACAAAGCTCTGTCTAGAATGCATACGCCATGCATGCACGGAGGATGGAATTTTCATTGCAATGCGCTAAACAGAGCCTGTGTCGCAAAAATTCAGGTGTCTGCGGAGTTGTCCATAAACAAAAAATCGACGTCAATTCCCTTTACCCGTGTAGTGGCCGATGTGTACACCGAAAAGGAATAATAATAAAGAAAACCGAGGAGAAGCAAAGCATGCAGGGAAGGGTGTTTGAGCTCGACTAACACGAAATCTGGGGAGGAGTGAAGCGCGCACCATTTGAGAGATTGCTTTGACGAGGCACTAGTGGCACAAAGCCTGAAACTGGGCATGCAGCGAAGGGAGTTACTGCTGCACTAAAGTCATCGGCTATTTGTTGGGCTATTTGTTGCCTTTGTTTTCGTCGGACTGGTCGCAAGTAGTGAATTTAGCATATTTTCGTGGCACGTAGCCTTTTTATGATGGACTGCAACTTGACACGCCACGACAACACTTGACGCCGACAAGCAGGCACCGGAAGGTGCTTGACAACCAGTAATATCAGTTGGAATTTTATGCACCCAAAATTCAAGGACACTTGAGCTTCACCTTCAAGAGTAAGGCATAACAATGTGGTTGGGCCTCGCACCCATCGCCTCTTGAACTGTTAACCCGTTTCAATACCTGGTTCTTGCCTATGTAGTGTCGTAAGGCAACGAACAACTGTGCGCATAACATTGGCGATTTCAAGGCATCACTGAATGGCTTTTGCAAGTACACTACGTAAAAATATTTCTTTTGCAATCAGCGAAGGAGTCCCCACATGTCTATAGAGCAACGCGCCGCAGCTGTTTAATTTGTGGATGGTTCTGGTGCTGATGACAATTGAGTCATTTGTCTCAGTGCTTCGTAATGGTTGGGCCTTTCGAATATCCACTCCTTGCTAAATTCACATCTCCCGATGCCTGGCACTTTCAGCTTCTCCCACGCAATATATGATATGTTAAGGGATCTCTTTCCCCTACACAACATCCATAGTGCCTTTTTCCAAAGCAGTTTCAACAAACTTGTGGCTTTGTGGTAGAATACCAGCTTGCCACCCCCGTTTGATCCTCACTCAGAACCGGAAATTTGTATGACTTATTTTATTTGCATCTTTTTTATTTTTCGGTCACGCACAAGATGATTTTTGTTGCCACCAACGATGTCCACACTGACGCCTGAATTTTCGCGAAATGTGCTCTTTAACGCTATTGTGTTTAAACCACTGCAAGAATATGTGGGACGCCATAATAAAGGACTCCGGAAACTTCGGCAAACATTGATTGATATGTGGGGTTTAATGTCCCAAAACCACCATATGATGAGAGATGCCGTAGTGGAGGGCTTTAGAAATTTTGACCACATGGGGTTCTTTAACATGCGCTCAAATCTGAGCACGCGGGCCTACAGCATTTCTGCCTCCATCGGAAATGCAGCCGCCGCAGCTGGGATTCGACCCCACGACCTGCGAGTCAGCAGCCGAGTAGCTCCACCACGAGACCACTGCGCCGAGGCAAATTTCGGAAAACAGGGGTTCTTTAACCTGCACCTACATGAAAGCACTTGGGCTTCAAGCGTTCTTGCCTCCATCTAAATTGCAGCCGCCACAGCCAGGATATGATCCCGCGTCCCGCAAGTTGCCAGTCAGGCACCTCGACCACTAGACCACTCGAAAACGAAGCATGGCTAGCGCATCAGCAGAAAATGTCAAAGAGGCCCAGAATGCTATCTTGTTGAACTATTAAACACAAAGTTTACGTATTTTGCAAGCCTTTTATCTCCCGTTTGCTATGGCTCATCATTCTCACGACCCAAATGAATGCTTACAAGCGCATCTTTAATATTTTCCGTGCACTGCCTGTCGAATCCAAAGAGAACCATGCAATAAGAGCTAGAGCAGCTCGAATGCAGCACTATGCTAGTTGTCGTTTCAGTGTGAGGAAGCACATTTTGTCTACAGAAGAGACAGCATTAAATGCTTTAGTCCCAAGAAGGAAATATTAGCTCTATTTGAAACCTTTATTTCGCCCTTGACCATACAAAAAATTGCGGAATGTTTACTTACATCTAAGAAAAAACTAAAAAAACTTATTGCTTTATTTTAAATAAATGGAATTATGTTATTTAGTTCAAGCAGCTGTTAACTGCAATTTTGCACACAGATTACGTGTAAAAGTTAATTCGAACTTGGTTAGAGGCTCTTCAGTAGTGCTGTCTCCTACACTGAGTAAAAGTAAACCACGAGAGCCTGAAGAAAAATATAATCACTTACTGTGACGACATAAAAGTTAAGTCTGCGGGGAAACGGCATTTTAAATCTTATCATGTACCCTAGGTGGCCAAAATGACGTTGAGCAAAAAGTAGCTATCTTTGTGCGGAAAATTTTGGTTGAAGATAAAAAATATATATATTTCCTCCACGATTAGCTGTGCTTGCTCAAATAATGGCCCCAGACACAGACTGAAGAAGTTAAAGCTTAAGTACTCCACGAACTGTAGTAGGTTACCATATAAACATAATTTCTGGCTCACCCTATACAGGCACGGAAGCCTCCAATGATCTCGGTGTAGTACTTCTGACATGCAAGACAGGAAGAGCTACATTTTCGTAAATAATATTGAACAAATTTAGGGAACACAAACAGAGCGGTTGTCTTTAAACAAAAGCCTTAGATGCCTATTCAAACAGGAAATTTGACTAATGGCAGCCGCTGCCCTTCAGCGTCTCAAACGAATGATTCACAAAATATTATCACGTGATCATGACACCATGATGGCACAAATTCTGGCGTGACATCATGAGACGTAATGCCAGTCGATGCCGCCACAGAGCAATCGCAATTCTTTCGGCGGCGAACAATACCAAAGATCGCGCAACCTGAAGAAAAGAAAATGGAGAAGGCGCTTGGCGGTGGCCTGTGAAGCCATGACTCGTGCTCCCTGCTGCCTTAAACATCAACCGAGCAGAGACAAGGAGATGGCTTTCAACGAGTCATCTTAGGCGAATACACAAAGGGCCTTGCGAGTTATGATTGCGGCATCGATACACCTCACCTGAGGAATGTCCTCTGGAACCGGCACAACCGGTTCGGGACTTGGCACATTCAGGCATGTTCGTGCTGTGGCACTGTGAACTTCCACAGGGCGCAGCTTGGTCCCATCTGCTGCAATAGATCGACAATAACATATATCTCAAAGTTAGCCATGAAAAAAAATCATTTCCAATAAATGAGGAGAAAGCTGCGGCCTGATATCCCTTGGAGAGGTCAACGAACCCAGTATTTTAGGAACGACAATGGCTCCTTGACATGGCCTGCAAGAATAGTAGCAACTAGATGCACCAAATATGTAGGCTAGGGCAAATAGTGATTTTGGTCGAATAATTTTGAATCGAATTCGAATAGTCTAAATATCACATAGTATTGTAAAAAAAGGAACATAATTGTCATGACCAAACAAACCTGCACAATATTTCTAAAGATTCAAACAAGGCCTGTGCAAATGCCGTCTTTTTTTTGCATCAAAGGAACTGGAAATAACTTGAATTGTAGCAGGATTTGACTTTCCATAGAATGCAAGTGATAGCCTGTAAAATATGTTAAGTTTTAAAATTTGTAATACTTAGAGTCTATAGGTGGTATAACGAGCTTTTAAACTGAAAATAAAAAAATGAAACAATGTCAGGCTAATATCTTCATGTAACCTTGAAGTGGGGCTTCGCGGCAGTATGCATTTCTCCTGAATACGTGTTTTCATGCACCACTTCACAACAGTGAGGCTACATGTACAAAAAGTTACATGTGAGATGGATTTTCCCAATATTAACTAGAGGGGACTCTGGCGATGCGATCGCTCAGCAATCATGGGAATGATGGGTGGTATACGGATTCGCCTTGTCTTCATACTTGCAGGCGGCGAATCGCACTTGTGGCTTCGTTTATTACTGTGTTTTGGTTTTGTTTCGAAGGACAAAACGAACCCTTTTGAGCCTCGGAGCCAGATGTGAAATGTTCAGCCTAAAAGAATAAGGTGGTAAAGTGCAACCGCTGTACATAGACAAATCCATGTACTACCCATCGTTCCCATGCTCACTTAAAAGCAGTGCATTCCAGCTCGTATCCACAGTAGCGCCAGAGCTCTTTCTAGTGTATATTTAGAAAACTCTATAACATGTGAACTAATATATACTTAGAAAGATGCTTTCACAGCACAGCACACTTCTACTGCCGTGAAACCACTTTTACAGACTTTTACACGCCGACTAATAAGCACCTATATGTTCGTCTTGAATAATTAGAAATTTTCAGTAATTTAAATCAAAGCAAATTCAAATACTGCATCATATGTGTGAATGTTCGAAGCACTTGAATATTTGCCCAAGCTATAAATATGCTGAGAGTAACAATCTTGGATTTTACATGAACACCTTTTGGTAAATACAAGTGATGAGCAGAGGTAGAACAAAAAACGTTGTTGTCTTGTCAGCTGCTTTGAAGACAAAACGTTCAGTTCAGCAATGTTTCTTGTTCTACCACTGTTCGTCACTTCAAGCACCCATAAGGCCTGCGAGCAATCTCGTTTCAGACTACCAACCATAGAGTTTCCTAAAATTAACTAGAGAGGACTCTGGCGCAGCGCTCGTTCAGCGACCATGGGAATGATGGGTAGTACACGGATTTGCCTAATCTTCGTGCTTGCAGGTTTCAAACACACTCATGGCTTTGTTGTTTACTGTTGTGTTTTGTTTTTTTCGAATATTAGAATGGACCACTTTGAACTTTGCGACCCGATTTGTCATGCCACGGCCAGGATCGAAATGCGGGGCACGTTTCGATTTGCTAGCTATTCTTCGCGTGACCTTACAATTTGTTGCTATCACATTCAATGCTTCGCCTTTGCAGCAAAGCTGTGGCGTTTTTGTTCTCCAATGATCAACCAACCCACTTGCATTATAGCATACTGCATTTTCACGCTTGTAACTCACACAAAATATGCAGTGAACTTGACTAAAGTGATCTTTCACTATAGCAGGGGTGCTACAGGCAAAGTAGAAATTGGAGCGATTTGTGGAGCAGGAACACTTTGCTTTTGGAGCAGATAAACCCGAATTTGGAGCAGATTACGGGAAGACATACCTCCATTTTGGAGCAGAAATTTCAAATTTGGAGCAGTTAAACAAAAAATTTACTTTTTGCTATAAGGTGACTTGAATAGCAATTAAACAGCCAAGCACACTAGCACAAACATAATAACAAACTTTCACACCTACTAACAAGACAAAAACAAGTGATCTTGCATATGGCAAGAAGCTCATAAAACTTGATTAATAGAGACATGACAACTTGACTAGTCCTAATCACTCAACTTGACTAGTTCAGACACCATTCAACTTGACTAGTCTAGACACCACACAACAATGCTTTCTTTTTTTAGAAATCTCTTCGAGCTCACTGAGCTTTTTAAGCGCAGTCTCCAGGCTGGCGTTCACCTTTGCCAACAGTACATGGCCACTTGACACTTTATTCACGTCTTTTTCTTGGCACCAGCGTTAATTACTTCTTCTGTACTCGTGAGCAATGCCTCGCTGGCTGCCACTTGGTTCTCTAAAGCAGCTTTTGCTGCTTCGTGAGTGGGCTGCTCTACGACAGGATCTTCCGTTGCCTTGCGCTTGCTTGAGCTTGCCTCGAGGCTCAATCTTTGTGTATACTTAGCCCGAGCTTGCCTCACACTCTTCAGCAGGTAAGGGTTGAGTGGCAACTTAGTTGCGTCTCCGTCATAATGCTGAAAGAAGCTCTTCACTTGGCGCATGCCATTGATGCTGGCAATGCTCAGCGAGCTTCTTCCATCTAACAGGTTCTTGTTTTCGCTGAACCCTCTTTCAGCATCAGCATTGCCATGTGGTAAGGAAAGCAGTGCTTTGATAATCTTAGTGTCACAAACGACTGCAATTTTCGTATCGTCCGCGTTCCCCATCGTCCAAGGAAGGGCGCTTTTGTGTTGGGAGGACGAGATCCGGCGACTAACCACCCAGCGATGACGCCGCCTCGTCTTCCCTACACCTGTACAAAAAGGGGCACGTGCGGTATAAAAAAAGGAAATGAGCTCCAGATGGGACGGGAGCACGCGTACGCCCCTGAAAAAGTTTGGACTGCATCCGGAATGGGCAGTTGACGTACAGTCAGCAAGATGTACAGTCGTCGGTGTCGCGAGTCTCGCGTAGGCAGCGAGCATGGAGTGACCCATGCAACGTATTGAGACGGCTGCAATTCCGGGCACCCTCGTCGTCTACCAAGCCGGCGAGATCTTCAGCGGTACCCATCAACTCCCCTACGTGCGCCAAAAGCTGGCCTAGTCCATATGAAACTTTTTATTGCGACTTTTTTAAAACCTTAATTATAACCAGCCTTTTTTAACATTTGTCGTTGTGTGCGCTGCAACGCACGTAGAAATTCAAAAGCGTGACCATGATCTTTTTCATGTATTTTCTTGTATCTCTTTTTGATTTCCATCTTGTTGCTATCTTTTTAATATTCCGCGTATTTGTCTTTTGTCTGTACCTCTTGTAGTGTTGATTTGATTGATTTGGGGGATTTAACGTCCAAAAACTACCATTTGATTATGAGAGACGCCGTAGTGGAGGGCTCCGGAAATTTTGACCACCTGGGGTTCTTTAACGTGCACCCAAATCTGAGTACACGGGCCTGCAACATTCCGCCTCCAACCTCTTGTAGTGTTCTTCTATAGAATAGTTTGTTATGTAGCTGTTCTTTTCATAGCGCGTATCAGTTTTTCTCCTCTGTTATTTTTCTAATATTCTGCCTTTGCCCCTGTTTTAATTAAATGCTTGTTTGTGTGTAATCAAATCTCCGCGTCTGTTCTATGAGTGCGTCGGTCAGGCCCACACATCAACACACGGGCAACCCCGCACGGGTCGAGCAACCTACAAATAAATTTGAGATGTGCTACTTCGAGGCCTTTCAGGCGTCGCAGGGCGAAGCGTAAAGTGGAAGCCTGCGAGTCTGCTGCACGTCGATGTTGGATCGGCGGGGCCTCACCCGAAGTGTGCGACACTCAGACAGCAACGGATACTTCAGTTCTCTGGTGATAGTCTTTAGGCAAAGCACCTTAGCCCCAGTACACATCCACCCTTCCTTCCAAGTGCAGGGTGCCTCTGTCCCCATCACACATAAGCATGTTCCATTCGTTGACCAGCAACGACACTCGATCCCCACAAATGACCTGAGGCTGCAGCTGCCAGGAAATGTACCGCAAGGACCGCATCTCCTGTTCAGCATTCTCACACCTTAAGGCAAGGAACTTTGCGTGCATGATTACTTTGTGAGAGGAAGCTTCTGGAGAAGTGCTTTTGCACAAGTGATGTAGAATGCACGAGCCCCAAGGTGGAAAGTTTTTTTCTCTGCAGGAGTCCCAGTCTTCCATAGCCTTCTCAGTGTCCATCCAACTTCCGGGCGCACCTTCCAGAACGCTCCATTATCCAGGTTCAGTTTTGTCAACTCTTCTGCAGTCTTGGTGCAATACACTTCACTTCTTAAAACACGGTTCGAAACTCGTCGCACCAGTGGCAGGATCTCACCATGAAGGACAAGTAGAAGTGGCTCCACCTTCGAAACGAGCGCTGAAACCCAGCAAAAAGTTCTGCTGCGTGTCTTAGAAACAACATTTTAGCATTGTCAATAGTATAGACAACAGCAACTCGTCCTCTCGGTTTGTTCTGCAGTTCGTGTAACTCTTGGCAGGTTATGCTGTTAGCTATAAAAGAAGTGATAATAAAGGTCTCCTTCCTCATATTCAGAGTCATTATTTTTAATCTGAGATGCTTTCTACAGATGCTCTTTACATGCATCGAGTATTCAAAACTTGACAAGTTCAGAATACTCGATGACAAGCTTTCAATACACCATATGGCTAATTTGTGCATTTTGAAGTATTTAGTGCATGACATGCTAAGTTGTGGCCATGAGTGCAAGCAATACTCTGTGGCTCACTAATCACAGATATGTGTTGATCCACTCATTTTTTAACCAATTATATTGGCGATGCTTTGCACATAAAATTGACAAATTTTTGCTCCAGAAGAGCATAACACCCAATGTTACAATTAAATAGCAGAGCAACATCGAATATCCTTGTTTGCTTGTTTTTTTCATTATGCAACATGCTAATTTTCGTCGACAAAAGCGCTCATCACTTCAACCTGTTATCTTCAGAGTGCCCCAGGGCTCCGTTTTAAGAAAGGCTGTTTTTCTCATTTATATAAATTATATTCATCAAGGTATACATTCCCGACTCCGGCTATATGCAGATGACTGCATTTTGTATTGACCAATAAGATGTAAGGATGACATTGCTAAGGTACAAGATGACGATTGAAAGATGGTGTTCACAATGGCAAATGGGCGCGAATACTAACTGAAACAAAGCTTATGAGATTTAACACCTCCAGCTAAATTACAGAGGAAACTCACATTCTTAATGATAAAGCCTTAGAAAACACAGCATCGTTTAAATATCTGGGTATTCATCTCTTCAGTAATTTGTCTTGAAAAAATCATGTGGATTTTGTTGTTTCTGCGGCATGCAAAACACTTGGCTTCTGTTGTAAGCTTCGTAAGGCTGACAGTGGTACTAAACTTCTTGCATACACTACCATACTCCGCCCGAACCTTGAGTACGCCTCTTTATATGGAACCCGTACCACATGTATCTTATCAACAAACTGGGATCTATGCAAAATAAGGCAGTGCGTTTTAATTCTGGTAATTATTTGCAGCAATCAAGCATCACAAAAATAAAGTATGAACTTGGTCTCACCCCCTTGTAGACTAGAAGAAAAATATGCCTGTTAGCCTTTATTCTTAAACTTTTTCATCAACCAAGTACATTCTCTCAAGCGCACATCTTACCTGCCAAAAAGATTTTTTCTCGTATCAATCACAAACTCAAGGTTGAGCAACCTTTTGCACACACTAACCTATTACAGTTATTATGCTTATACCTAGCTACCTCAGAATGGAATGATCTCCCCAGTAACATAGCTGAAATAACTGATAATGCAGTAATTAAAAATGCTGTAAATGAGGAAGTTTTATAAAGGTACACCCTAGCGTTAAGTATTAGAGATTACTCTTAACAAGAAAAAATGTGTATCCTAATCATATTGTCGCGATACCTCTATATGCAAGACAAACAGTGTGCGTGTAATTCCTGTATAACGAAAGAAATGCAGTACGTTGATGCCGATTGATGACAAGTGTACTACTAAGAATTTCTATTTTTGCTTCACTGTTTCTTTTTTTCATACCTTATTTTGTTTCTTTTGCGCTTTACAAAGGGGGGAGCATAACATTTCATGTAATGCCCACCTTGTACTCTTAGTGAAAATAAATGAAAAAAAAAGTGAGAATAGCCTCTAGATTAAACAGCAACCTTATTGCAACCACATTTTTAAGAAACTACTTCATCGGTCTACACCAATTTAATGTTTGTTTTCGCCTATTTTCTGAAAATTTCCATATCTGCTCAAAGAATTGAGCTCACCACTGGAGCAGATTGTAGGCGATTGCCCTTGGTCCACGCTGCTCGTCTTTTCACTGGGGGCCTGCAGAGCAAGGTTGTCAAACAGAAAATCGTTAGCCAAGAGGAGTTCCAAATCACACTGCTCTATTTAGAGAAAGAACTTTATGGTTGTAAATGCTTTGACACACTGGAGTTTCCTAGGTCAATGAAGCCTGTAAGATCATTGATGATTAATTGATATGTGGGGTTTAACGTCCCCCAAAACTGCCATGTGTTTATGAGAGAGGCCGTAGAAGACAGCTCGGAAAATTTCGACCACCTGGGGTTCTTTAACGTGCACCCAAATTTGAACACACGGGCCTACAGCATTCTCGCCTCCATCGAAAATGCAGCCACCCCAGCCGGGATTCGATCCCACCACCTGCGGGTCAGCCGCCGAGTACCTTAGCCACTAGACCACCGCGACATGACAAGCCTGTAAACTCAAAATTGGAATTCTGTTGAGGTGCACCTAATAGCACAACTGACAGTTACACATTTCTTGAGAGCTTCACAATACTCACAATCCGAATGCTTCTCAGACTTGACCACTTCCTGTACAGGCAGCATCAAAGTGTTTTAAAACTTCCGGGCCCAACTGTGTGCGTGTGTGCGTGTGAGAATGCAGACGAGTGCATTCCCCTGCCTTTGTATAGGGCCCAGGGCTTAAAATAATTGGTGTTGTTGAATAATATAGTTGAGTAACTGTTCAAAAAAAGAAGGTAGGACTCGGTTCAGCAAGCTTGTTTAGGAAGAAGTAAGGATCAACGTACAAGGCTCGACTCACGAATGCATGCGCCAGTCGTTGATTACAATAAGTGCGCGTGCACCATATACTGCTGTGCGTCACCGCCACTGGTTTTGTAACCACTAATGCGCAAGAAAAGAAAGCGAAGTTGATCGAGGGCACCAAGGGCGCAATGAGATTCGAACCTATGTCCCGTGCGTGTCAGCCCAGTATTCGACTTTAGAGCCACGCTGTTGCTTGAAAATTTGTGGCAAACTGGCAGGCTTGATGTGAGTGATCAAGTGTTGTATATGTGAGGAGGTTTATTAGCCGTTAAAGACAGCGACGAGACAGCGTCAAGAACCGTCCAGCGATCGGCACAGCAACGAACCGAAGCACGAGCCGAGAGAGCCAGGCGTTGGCGATGCTGCTCGCTGCAGGCACATCTTCTTCTTCACAATCGCCCCCGCTGAAAAAGGAGCCATCCTGGCGACTTAAGAAGTTTCAGGCAAAGGCTCATGGTACGGTTTCAGTCGGGAAACATGGACGATGTCACGTGCACGCCGGCGCATGTCGTCCGATCGGGAAACTGGTTCAATTAGGAAATTAACCGGAGAGGTTTTCTCCAAAACGGTGTAAGGCCCCTCGTATCGGGGGACAAGTTTCGAGGAGAGTCCCGGTGTTTGGTATGGGATGGCAAGCCACACAAGAGACCCTGGGGCATAGTTGGGATCCGGAAGAGAGGTGCTACAAGTTTCTTTCTGGCGTTGTTGTTCTTCCGAGGTGAACGCACGGGCGAGCTGGCGGCACTCTTCGGCTTGTCTAGCAGCATCGGAGATAGGTGGACACTCGGAAGCATCAGGACGGTAAGGAAGTAGGGTATCAATTGTATGGGAAGGCTCACGTTCGTAAAGAAGAAAGAAAGGTGAGAATCCCGTGGTGGATTGTATTGCGGTGTTATATGCGAACGTGACGTATGGGAGAACACGGTCCCAGTTGCTGTGATCAGATGCCACGTACATTGAGAGCATATCACCTAGCGTGCGGTTGAACCGTTCCGTTAGTCCGTTAGTCTGCGGGTGGTATGCTGTCGTTTTCCGATGAATGACGTGGCATTCCGAAAGCAGAGTTTTGACGACCTCGGAAAGAAAAGCGCGGCCTCTGTCACTAAGGAGCTCTCGAGGTGCACCATGTCGAAGGATAAAGCGTTGCAAAATGAAAGAGGCGACATCCTGAGCTGTAGCGCTCGGCAAAGCGGCTGTTTCGGCGTAGCGTGTCAGGTGGTCGACCGCCACTATAATCCACCGATTACCATCTGGTGTCAATGGAAGGGGACCGTAGAGGTCAACGCCGATGCGATCAAATGGCTTGGCAGGGCATGGAAGTGGCTGCAATGCGCCAGTCGCACGTGGCAGTGTTGATTTACGTCGCTGGCAGTCAGGACAGCACTGCACGAATTTACGTACAAAATTGTACATGCCGCGCCAGTAATAGCGATGGCGAAGGCGTTCATATGTTTTGAACACTCCGGCGTGGCCACATTGCGGATCGTCGTGAAGGGAGGCGCATACTTGCGATCGTAAAGTGCGTGGAATGACCAGCAACCACCGGCGGCCATCGGGAGCGTAGTTGCGTCGATGAAGAAGTTGATCGCGGATGGCGAAATGGAGAGCTTGACGTCGGAGGGATCGAGATACTGGAAGGTTGGGCGTGCCAGATAATATTCGATAAGAGAGGCGATCCACGGGTCACGACGTTGTTCGGTGGCAATTGATTCAAGATTTAACGATGACAAGTACTGGAGGCACGTGTTTCCGCACGTCGGATCTGGTGGCAAAGGTGAGCGGGACAGGGCATCAGCGTCAGAGTGTTTGCGTCCGCAGCGGTATACGACGCGAATGTCGTACTCCTGGATGCGGAGTGCCCATCGCGCAAGGCGGCCAGAAGGGTCTTTCAATGTGGAAAGCCAGCAAAGCGCGTGGTGATCAGTTACTAGATCGAACGGGCGGCCGTATAAGTACGGCCGAAACTTTCCAAGCGCCCACACCAGAGCCAAACACTCTTTTTCTGTCACGCTGTAATAGTTTCGGCTTTCGTCAGAGTGCGGCTAGCGTAGGCTACAACGTATTCTGAATAGCCGGGCTTTTGTTGAGCGAGGACCGCGCCTAGCCCGACGCCGCTGGCGTCGGTGTGCACTTCGGTAGGAGCCGTCGGGTCGAAGTGGCGAAGAATAGGTGGGGAAGTAAGCAGACGGCGCAGAGTAGCGAAGGCAACGTCACATGCAGGGGACCAGGAGGTGAGGTTCACGTCACCGCGAAGAAGCTGCGTTAACGGTGACATGATAGATGCGAAATTGCGAACAAAGCGCCGGAAATAGGAGCATCGGCCTACAAAACTGCGAAGTTCTTTCATGGTCGTCGGATTGGGAAATTCTGCGACTGCTCGAAGTTTTGCTGGGTCTGGTAATACGCCGTGCTTGGACACGATGTGGCCTAGAATGACGAGCTCGCGTGCAGCGAAGCGGCATTTTTTTAGGTTAAGCTGCAGACCAGCGTTGGTCAGACAACTCAAAACGTGCCTGAGGCGAAGGAGGTGCGTAGGAAAGTCATGGGAGAAAACCACGACATCGTCGAGGTAACACAGGCACATATTCCATTTGAGGCCACGTAGCGTATTATCCATAAGACGTTCAAACGTGGCAGGCGCGTTACAAAGCCCAAAGGGCATGACGTTAAATTCATATAGTCCGTCTGGTGTAATAAATGCCGTTTTTTGGCGATCGGCTTCTGCCATTGGGACCTGCCAGTAGCCAGACCGCAAATCTAGCGACGAGAAAAATTCCGCTCCGTGAAGGGTGTCAATGGCGTCATCAATGCGCGGCAAAGGATAGACGTCCTTGCGGGTTATCTTATTCAAACGACGATAGTCCACGCAAAATCGGATAGATCCGTCTTTCTTACGCACCAGGACGACGGGAGACGCCCAGGGACTGTGAGATGGTCGAATGACGTCCCTACGAAGCATATCTTCGACTTGATCGTTGATGACGCGGCGCTCTTCAGCGGAGACACGGTATGGTCTTTGACGCAGTGGCTGGTGTAGGCCGGTGTCAACATGATGTTTGACTTGTGATGTGCGGCCCAGTTGAGGTTGCGACACATCGAACGAACTCCTGAACTCATGGAGAAGATCCAGCAGGTCGGCATGTTCGGTGGGAGTGAGAGTGTCGGCGATGGCGCTGGAAAACGTATCATTGGACGACTCCCCAGTGCTGACAGTGCTTTTGGGTGGTCGCAGTAGTCGTCCGGGACATCAAACAAAAACGAAGGGTCGAGATCCTGCACGCGGCCGAGACATTCCCCCGCAAGCAATGTGACAGGTGTGGAAAGCGGATTGCTTACGAACATGTTGCTTCTTCCGGCGGCAAGGTCAATTGTTGCGAAAGGCAGCGGCAAAGCTCGACGACATTTGAAGATATCGGAAGGCATAAAAAGAACTGTAGCGTCAGTGTAGGCGTTGCATGAAACGGGAACAAGGGCGAAATTTCCAGGCGGAATATCGGTATCTTCAAGAACGAGCAACTTCGGCGGCTGATGAGGAGCGTCCAGTAATGGGACATCACACAAGGGCGAAAACTCAACTTCGGCGCGTGCGCAGTCAATGACGGCATTATGGCGGGATAGGAAGTCCCACCCGAGGATGACGTCATGCGAACAGACAGGAAGAACAATAAACTCCACGATGTAAAGAATGCCTTCGATGGAGACTCTTGCAGTGCAGGCTGCGAGAGGCGTTACTTGCTGTGCGCTTGCGGTGTGAAGCGACAGTCCCGAAAGCGGCTACTGGCAAATCGAAGTAGACGAGAGAGACCGAGAGAAGACTGCCTTCATAACACCAGACGGCCTATTCGAGTTTAAGGTCATGCCCTTTGGTCTTTGCTCGGCGCCTGCGACGTTCCAACGGGTTATGGACACAGTACTCGCAGGCTTGAAGTGGCAGACTTGCCTCGTCTACTTGGACGACGTAGTCGTATTTTCTTCCAACTTCGACGAGCACCTCCGGCGCCTTGAAGCTGTTCTTCGGGTAATCAAAGCCTCGGGACTTACCCTGAAGCCAGAAAAGTGCCGCTTCGCCTACGAGGAACTATTGTTCCTTGGCCACGTTATCAGCAAGTCGGGAGTGCTCCCTGATCCACAGAAAACAGCTGCGATCGCCGACTTTCCTGCACCCACCGACAAGAAAGCAGTACGCCGATTTCTTGGCCTCTGCGCTTATTACAGGCGCTTCGTCAAGAACTTTTCGCGGATCGCCGAGCC